ATCTCATTGAAATCTCGGAGAGGAAAACATTAAAACTAGTATTATAATTATATTGAATTTCATCCGTGACCTCAGGAACCTTTGGTCCTGGGCTCTAAATTTAGGTTTAGTCTGGTAAAGAAAAATATAGAGAGAGGTCCACTACCAATCTATATGAATTAGTATTAAACAAAAACTACATGACATTTTGAGGAATGTTTTAGGGTACTTTATTTGGTGTAAAAGTATGGATTTTTTAACGCAAGTTTCTGAAGAGCCAGAAAGGAGATTAACCCCCACCATTTTTAACACAATTTACCTAAACAGGTTTAAACTGCAGCTCATTAAATTAAATTAATATCTAAAAATCTAGTGAATTATAAATGTGTTCTTCCAGTTTAATTGCTTTTGTGGGACCAAGATATTTTAGTTAGTGGAAAGCTGTATTAAAAAACCTTTTTAACGTTTTTACTTATAACGTGTGAACAAGTGGTTTTTACTCTGCGGGAGAAAATATTATGCAGCTCTGGATTTGTTTGAGTGTTCATCCCTTGGAGTATGCTTAGTCTATGGTTCATCTACGTTTCGCAGTTATAACATGAAATTGTGCCAGCAAATCTTCGTTTTCGACCATAGAGATATAAAGTTTACTACTGTTTTATAACAAACGGTAAAATCACCTAACGCTTTTTAAATAGCAGTTTCTGTGTAATTAGCATGTTAACATGTTTAATTGATATCTTTGGACTGTTTATTGTATAGTATATGTACACCAAAGCAGTTATTTTCGACGGAAAAAATAGCCAAGACTTTATACGTGACGATTCCTTGAAAGGAATAATTGACCACGAAGCCTATTTTTCGGCTGTCCAACAACTGTGAAAAACTGAACTTTGTACTTCCCAGATAAATTAGATTCCTGAAAAATGCCGTAAAAAGACTTCTTTTATGGTTGGGAGGTATGTTAGTGAGATACTTGTATTTGTCCTTAAAGACAAGTAAATTAATTGAGTGAGACTGACAGTTTTGTAGATACTGTATAGATAAAATGAGATCATGAACTGATAAAAATGCCTTTTATTACTTTTAACCTTTTATTACTTTTAAGAAGCATAACAAATTTACTGTAGCCAAACAAAAAAATTCTATTTTCAATTCAAAACCACATTATATTGTTGGCACGTAAACACAAGCCTGTTTAAAATCACCTTTTATTTGAGAAATTCGAACACACTGAAAATAATTGGTAGTCGTGTTCTCAGGGACGACAAATTATTTTTGGCCAAATTATAAATATAAATTGTAAACTGTGACGATTTACAACTGTGATGTTGAATGGTGCGAGATGTGAATATTGTGAATGGCTCAGAGGGAGGTGCCAAAAAAAAACTAAAATAACTGAAGCGTGGAGAATCGCTTCCACACATCGTTCTCTCATTCACGACGGGGAAACAATCTAACTAAAACAACTACGAGAAAGGTAAATGATTATAGTTTACCTACACGTATGTATTAAGGGAATGGTAATCATCAACGATCTGATATCAAACACAATAGGTGCACATTTACCATGTAAAGCAATGCCACTGACTCTGTATGCTGCAATGGAGGATGGAGGTCGTGTTAAAGAGATGCTAGTTGAATTATCCTCTTTAAGTAAGCAACTAATTAGTTTTACTTTATCTTTTAGCTTTACATACTATGATGGCTTAAATGGAAGTAACAGAATTTTTATGGTTTAGAACAATCCACCCATTCAGGTTAACATGATTTATAATGTTTGTGTAAAACAAAGACAACGGGTTTTCGGATGCATTGCACGACGTCCAAGTGCCACGGAATTTGATTTAATTTGATTTAAGTCAGAAGTACAAATTTATTTCTTAAAGTAAACTTATGAAATAGACTGTCCGTTTCACTTTGGAACTTGTGATCGTATGTCGGGTCGGAATTTCCAAAACGCTACTAGTCAGATCGGAAGATCCAAAATGCTAGAACTGTTGCGTCTCTCAGGTTGAAGGCGATGAACGCCGTAACCGTTTTGATTTTGGATCTTCCGACCCGCTAAATAACCTTTGGAATTTCCGATTTTGGAACATCCGATAGGCAATATAAACGTTGGATCTTACGATTTTGGAACTTCCGATCGGCAATATATTCTTTGGATCTTCCGATTTTGGAACTTTTGAAATACTCCCAGTGTCAGCGTCATGACGTCCAATATATAATTTTTGAGCGGTTTCACAACGTCCAAAAAAAATGGATTCAACTGAAGGAACAGCTGACAAATTTAAAATTTGTATAAAGCAAGTTGATCTGCAAAACCAGATCTTTGAAAATGGACTATCTACTTCATGGAGAAATTACAATGTATAGACACAGACAATGGAGAAAACCATTAAAGTATTATATTGTCTGTGGTATAGATGTTTTGTATGAATTTGGAGTCAACTTTTTATAAATTCGAACATGTGTTGAATTCACTTAACCTAACTTGCACTTCACATTGTGTTTTGTGTATGCTTGAATTAATGTAAAGAATGTCATAGATAACCATTGTACGCTGTAGATTTTTGTGTTGTAAAATTTGTGTATTCTGCTTTAGGCAAGTATGTGTAAATATATATAATTTTAAATGGTAATACAAAATACTCTTATTTTATCTAGCAGTTCACATATTTTATTTGATAAATTTATTATTCGTGTTTTGCCACACCACTGATTAAATTAAACCAAGGAAAATATCATAAAACAAAGCAGTACACAGGGTTATTTTGTTTCTAAAATCAATGAAATATCCGTTACCATGTTTACTAAAATAATTAATAAATGCTAAATTAATAATTTACAGATTTGTATAGTATACAGGGTGATTGATATAAGTGTGCCAGCCGTTTTATTCGAAAACCATAAGAGATATCAAAAAAAGTTAAATGGTAAGTGCCTTGGATTTTTTATTTAAAAAATTATGGTCAAGTCAAAAAAAAATATTTTAGCCGCCATTTTTCCAATATGGCCGCCAACTTTGATTTTTCTTATGGAACACCCTGTATTTCATGATGTATTCTGGTAGAAAATGTAATTTTAAGACGATTTTATTCTTTTTCATAAACCTAACCGTTTCAAAGATAATAATGGTTTAAGTTGTGAAATTTTGAATGGTTTTCGAATAAAACAGCTGGCATGCTTGCTTAGGCTTTTATCGAAACTCTTTCTCATGCAGAAAATAAAAAATCCAAGGCACTTACCATTTAACTTTTTTTGATATCTCTTATAGTTTTCGAATAAAACGGCTCGCACACTTATATAAATCACCCTGTAGATGTGGTTTCTTTAATATTTCAAAATACTATTGATAAGGCACAACAATATTTCTAAAGTTTATAACAGCTGATGTTAGTTTTGCTAATGATTTATTGTAAGTGAAGAAGGCTTTGTGATTTAATTTGAAGAAGATTGACCTAAAAATTTGTTCATTTAAATTGAATAATTAGTCGTTTTTCAACTTCATGATTGTAATTTAAAATGACAAAAACAAAGAAAAAATATGTAACTAGATAACGGTAAAACATGTATGTGAAAATGTTATTTAAAAATTTGGTAAGTTTTTCTCATATCAACATACACAAGACTTAAAATTAACCAAAACCAAAATCAAAACCAGTTTCCACTACTTACCAGATTTAAAAGTCATAACTTAAATGTTTCTATTAAGGCCATAAATGTTGAATTTTGTTCCTAAAAGCGTTGGCGGATGTGTAACTATTTTATGTAACAGATGTAAAGATCAAACTGTTTCTATTTTCTGTCTTCTTCCCGTTGCAAAGCACGGGTACAACAGCTAGTCTAGAAATAAATTAAACGCAAATGGGAAAAGCCTTAAAAGGAATTACCTTTTTGATTACCACAGGTGCGCTAGATCATAAGCTTTAAAATGACACCTCAATCGAAAATATCTATTAAGTAGGACGACTGAAAAAAGTATGTAACAGGAAAATCCCTTATTGTATTAAGTATAGATATGGATTCAGCAATCTTGAAAAGGCTTTGCAGTCAAGTCAATTTTAACTACAACAAAACATTCTTCATGATTCATAATTGAAATTTGGAAGTAAGAGGTTTATTGTAGACCTCGTAATTTTACCATAAGCATATTCTTTGTAATATTGGTTTGTAAAGTAATTAAGAATAAACTATGCGATTTGTTCATATTTTATAACCACAAAACCCTAACTATGTTACTATAAAAACTAATTATCAGCTAGAAATATTATATACCATTCCCAATTGCAATACGATATAACAAAGTTTACCTCAGTTTTATTTTACTCCGTGTAACCTAACCAGGTAACGTCACATTGCAAACATTCACAGGTGTTTGGGTTTGATATATTTTACGAATACTCATAAACATACACCATCAATTGGTGCTGCTGAGAAGTTTAATTGATTTAGATAACCAAAATCAACGAATTGTTTAGTAAGTAAAATTCATAAATTACTTTCAACAGATCCATTTGTACGAGGATGCACCAATATTAACTTCCTCATATGTAACTATTATAAGTATCCAGACTTTGCATAGTAATTTTAATACTGTATTTTAAAGCATAGGCGTAAGCAATGCAACGAGAACTGTTGATACTCTAGACGACTTTATGTATATTATATAAAACTATCACAACAGTTCACGTAAGTTACATAAATACAATGCCATTTTTATATTAAATCTAAGAGACTCGTATAATAATTTCCATATCAATGAAGGTAGGTGTTATTAAAATTGTTACAATGAGGTAACAGTTTTTATTTATTAGATAACAACATTATTTTATGAGAAAGAAAGCAAGACATAGTACTGAATTTATTACTTGAGGTACAGACAGTGTATTTTATTTAATTAAGGCAAGTTTATTAACGTTTACACTAAAATGTCTGTTGAAAGACCTATGCACCAGCCTAATGAAGTCAACAACTAACTGGGGAAGTTACAAGATAAAAAAACAAAAAAACTAAAATAGTTAAAATATAAATTTATAAAACACATTTATTTACACGTTAAGTAAACAGCAAGAATCACAGTGGTTGAAAAAGTTGATCACATCGTACATGAGTGGCAATAGCGGAATCCCTCGCACTAAAAGATCACAACCCTTACTTTTAAGTGAGGACAGTTGTTTGATAATAATAACTATTCAAAACTTGAACTAGTGATACTAAGCAATATACTATCTACTGGTAGGCCTACCATCACTTTCAATACTCTGTTTCGTCAGTTGTTTAGTAAGTATCTTTTCAGATTGTAAATTTTGTATTTCAATTATTTCCTCTTTGGGTGGTTTCTGGTCCTTTTGAACACTGGTTGTTCTCGTTTTGGTTCTCGTTTTGGCTATGTCCTGTTTATTAAAGGTGGACTCTTTAAAAGCGTTAACTACTCTTATTTGAGTTCGGATTCGCTTGACGCTCCGTAGCCACAATATCTTGGCGTGTGTTCCATTTTTGAGGTCAGACAGCGACACGACGTTGAAGTCATTGTCCGTCAGAGAGGCTCGTTTGCTGTTGCCTTTGCAGGGAGGAATACAACACAGGATCTGTCCCCAGACCAGAGTGCCTACACCGAACGCGATACACCACAGCCATTGCTCTCGGTCCAGCTCCGTCACTGACAGAGCTTCACCGCCGAAGTTGATGATGCACACTTGGGCGATCAAAGTCGTCAACCAGATAAAACAGAACACCGGGTTCGTCAACAAACCGCTGAAAATGTTCCTTTCGCCGTGAATCTTTCTCGCGTTAATCTCGTTGAATAGTGTCATCATTACAAAAGCGTTGAAAATGAATGTAAAGTGCTGGCTGATCGCTCTTATGGAATGTTTTTCAATTGGAATGTTAAAAAATTTGTCTCCGAGGAACAAAAGGTTGAATATGATCGTTAACTGGTACAGCGAATGCCCGACGATGTTCTTCATCATTATTTTAGATATCAGAGGTTTGGTTCTTCCGTACGGATCGCGATTCAACAGATCCGCTGTCGGTTTCTCTGTGGCCAAAGCTAAAGACGCCAGCGTGTCCATTATGAGGTTGATCCATAGCATCTGTACCGCCTTGAGCGGGCTGTCCCCCACAGTGCACGCGCCAACAAAGGCTACTATGATGGCGACTAGGTTGACGGTCAGTTGAAATTGAATAAACTTTGTGATGCTGTCGTAGACATTTCGGCCCCACATGACAGCTTTCACGATGCTGATGAAGTTATCATCTGTGAGGATGATATCAGAAGCCTCTTTCGCGACGTCTGTACCGGCGATCCCCATGGCGAAGCCCACATCAGCCACCTTCAAAGCCGGCCCGTCATTGGTACCGTCTCCAGTTACTGCTACCACTTCTCTTCCTTTTCTTAACTTACTTTCTTTAATTCCTTTGACGAGATTATATTTATCAGTAGGAGATGACCTTGCGAGTACTCTGAGTCTTGGCCAAATCTGATCTATCAGATGTTGTTGAATATCACCTTTCTCGTCACGGATCATCTTGTTAAACTCCTTTCCCTCCAGGATGAGATAGCCGGGCTTGTAAATGCCACACTTGATAGCTATGGATTTGGCGGTGTTAACGTTATCTCCGGTGACCATCTTTACAGTTATCCCCGCTCTTTGGCAAGTTTTGATAGCTTCGGGAACCTCTGGTCTTACGGGGTCTTCTATTCCAAAAATGCAGAGCAGAGTCAACCCCTTTACGATTTTATGCTCTTGTTCCCAATCGGGATCGCTGTATGATATCCTGGTGTCGTTTGTCGACGCACCATTCCTGACAAAGTCGCGATAACCGACAGCGATGGTTCGAAGTCCGTCTGCAGCCATCTTCTCTATAACATTGCGAATTATCTGATTCTTTTTATTTAAAGTGAAAGACACTATCTCTCCGTTAGAGCCCAGAATATAATCACACAGACCGAGAACAATTTCACTCGCACCTTTAGTAAATAGTCTGAAACCGCCCCTCCAAGGTATGACTGTAGACATTGACTTTCTCACAGAATTGAAGGTATAGACTCGAGTAAAGCTTTCTTCTTGGACATCTTTTCTCAGCGCCATATAATCTCTCCCCAATTCACCGACAAACCCTAACAAGGCGCATTCCGTTTTATTCCCTATCTGTTCAGGCAAGACAGCGGGGTTTTGATTCAGTATTATTCGAGAGCTGTAGTTAGAGTTTATGGTAACCGCTTGCGCTATCATATCAGCGACGTTCGACTGAATGTTCGATAGGTTTTCTCTGTTAATAACCTTTTTATATTCGTCGTACAAATATATTTGTACGACAGTCATACGATTCGTAGTCAAAGTTCCTGTTTTGTCAGAACAAATAATCGTAGCGTTACCCATAGTTTCACACGCATCCAAATGCCTTACCAAATTATTATCTTTCATCATTTTTTTTACAGAGTAAGCCAACGAAATGGTCACTGCCAGAGGCAATCCTTCTGGTATCGCCACTACCAATACAGTCACTCCGATTATGAAAAAGTGGACAAAATAGTTATAGTAGTAGCCGTGCCAGTATTTCCCACTAATTAAAAATTCTTTGACACAAAACTGAACTACTAATACAACTACAGTGAGAATAGCTATCGCCGATCCGATGTAACCGATTTCAGCGGCTAGCTTTGTGAGTTTCAATTGAAGAATGGATTTACCTTTTTCATGTGAAATATTCGTTTCTTCTGCGGCATCATTTTCATTGACAATATTATTCTTTACGTCACCATCCGATTTCTCTTTTTTCTTTGCTACCGCTCCGAGGAGTGTAAATATGATTCCCGCTTGTGAGTTGACGCCGACTGCCGTTACTAACATTTTACCACTCCCTTCCATTACATTCGTACCAGAAAGCAATAACGGGTCCACCTTAACTCCCTTCTTCACGTAGTCCGACTCTCCTGTCAGTGAGGATTCGTCTAACTTCAGATCGTTGCTCTGTACGACTACTCCATCTGCGGGAACGACGTCGCCGTACTTGATCTGGCAGATGTCGCCCACCACGATCTCTGTGATGGGGACGTTATGTGTCGCTCCGTCGCGAATCACCGGGAACACGAGCTCAGAGTCGATACGGTCCTGCAGACTGCGGAACTGACGCTCTTTGGTGTAGTCGTTGAAGGCCGTGACCAGGACTACGACCACTACAGACACCAGGATGGCCGTGCCTTCTATCCAGCCGTGGCTGTCGTCCTCCTCACCCTCCTCCACGGGCTTGACGTAGTTGAGTACCAGCGAGATGAGAGCGGCGCACACGAGGATGATCAGAGTGCTGTCGAGAAGCGCCTCCCACAACAGGTGGATGAACGACTTGGGAGCGACTTTAGGTATTCTGTTCTCACCGAACACGTCTCGTCGAGTCTTGAGTTCCTTGGGACTGACTTGGATGCCCGCGGTGATGGATGTCTTGAGACGCTCGGCGAGTTTGTTGATGCCTCCAATGTCGGTCAGCTGTGAGATCGCCTCTGCACCTCGCAGTACCATCAACTCTCGTAGCTCTCGCAACGTCACGTCAAACATCTGTGCTGCGCGGAACGACCTCTTGGCTCCCAGAGGGCTCGGCATCATTCTGCTGGGTCTACAACACAATGACATCAAAGATGAATAGATTGGACAACCATGTACGGATTGTTGTATATTTTACGTATTATTAATGACTGTAGAGGGTAATACAATCGTTAGTAAAATAATTGAATATCTTTCCTAACAAATATGATAAAACTGGTATCTTCTTGCCTAAGCAACAACGATATTGCACACATTTTTATTTTGGCTTACTCATTCTGTGGTTAGTTGATATTTGCATTGTTTACCTACCAAACTCAATAATAATTGCAAATATCCCAGTAATTTCCTTCCATGCAGTTACATAATTCAAAATGTATCGTAACTTAAGATAGTGAAGGCATGTATACCAAGTAATTAGCATACTAGCAGAGTACCCGTCCTTCGTACGGGGTTGGAATATAAGTATAAAATGCTTATTGCAGTTATACTCAAGCTTTGCGTTTGCAATAAGGGAGGACACAGTTTAAAAAAATTTGCTTTTTTAAATTTACAGTATTCTATAGTATTACACATCTACCACAGCCATAATGTTCTACCACTTCACCTAAACAATAGAAACCAATAAATTATCAACAATTCGCAAAATATCACAAATTATTCATGAAATGAAAACATAAACATAACTGTAATAGCTATTTACATTACAAGTGTAGTAAGAGCGTTTTTACATCACGCAGGTGAATGTTGTGCAACGAGCGAAGGCGAGTTGCATAATTCACCGAAGTGATGTAAACACGCTCTTGCGTAACGTGTAACGTACAAGATTTTACCTGACCCGACAATATTCAGGAGGTTACGAGCAATATGCTTCATTATCAATTTCACTCATCTTCTAACAGTAACGTTCATTTACAAACAAAAGCTAGGTTAGGAAAATTCTTCAAAGCATAACAATAAAGTTCAAACACACAGCTGATTTCTAGCGTTGAACGTCGTTGGCTCCATAGAGGTATATTTTTTAAGTTATCCACTCAATGTTATTTAAATGGGTTTCATTACATCACCGAGTGAGTTTTTTTCAACTTTACATCACTCGAGAAGTAAGGAAGTTGTATACATCACGCTTGGGATAAGGAAGTTTAACATGGCGGGTTAGGTAAACAATCCTACTTTGACAGTTCTCATTGCGTATCACAGCTTTTTGTTGCTGCTTAGTTCAAATTAGCTGTTTTCATAAATGCAAACAAAAATATAGTGCTGCACCCTGTTGGTAAATCTTATAACTTTTTAATGCTTTTCCATATCATAGAACCATAGAACCAACTTTTTTAGTTGAAACAGCTGACTAAATTCTTTAATTCCCTTTAAATATGAATACTCATAAGGTTAACATGGGGAATTACAGAGCAACTGGGGCAGAGCCCGAAAGGATTTTGGAGATAAGAATATGCCTATATGTTAATCGGGAATGTAAGCTATCATAATGCCAAATTTCAGCCCAATCCGTCCAGTGGTTTATGCGTGATTGAACTTCAAACACACAAACAAACAAACAAACAAACAAACACACAAACACACAAACTTTCACATTTATAATATTAGTAAGATATAATACGCTAAGCCGATTTTTGTGAACAGAACTCCTCCCTCTTTTTGGACAGATTTTGATGATTAAAGTGTCTAATAAATAATGGCCCTAATCTGTAGTTTTGCAAAGTGTTTTTTTATTTTTTTTAACTTTATTAGTTCGGGCTGCATCTTTCATCAAAGTTGGATTTTCTCCCATAAGATTAACATGGGGGAATCTAAATATTTAATTGGAAACTTTGTCTCCACTAATTAAAGAGAACGACTGGGCGTAGAAACTTTGTAGAGGTGTCCAAAGAAAGGTCTTGGTCTGTAGATGAGTTATCAAAAGAAAACCGAAGTAAATTCCCTCAGGGCTCTGCCCCAGAAGCCTTTAAAAGATCCCTCCACAGTCGTTTACATTTTGGCCATGTGGATAATACTTTTTAATGAAACAGCTGTTAATTTTTAAATTGCATTTCAAACAACACTCATTTATTGAGAGTTACTGAATTGTCCAAAGGAAGTATTTGCAACGTTATTTTCTTGAACTCTTAGAGAGCCTTTGAATGTTGAAAAAAAGTTGTGCATGTTTACTAGCACTACTCAGCAATAAAAACAATTTAATTTATCTCTAAAAAATATATTCTTAAAGTGCACTGAGCAGCAGCCTAAAAAATACTATGTAACTTCCTCATATAGTTACAAAATGCTCAAACTTACATTGTGACATGTATGATTCGGCTTATATTTCTCCAACAGTTATTTATCTGCAGAAGAAGTTCAGTGTGATCTTATTGTGTCTAATAACATCCAAACACAAAAACCTTGCCTAAAATGGTACCTATCTTGACAAATTATTTGCAGTGGCCTATATTACCGACCATGGCCCACTGGGTTGGTAACATTATTGAAAGTAACACGATATTTTGCCTGTAAGAGTAAATACTATTTAAGCAACTACTGTCATGACAGTAAGGTCATATTCCTTTTAAACTAGATCACATTATCCTTTATAAGATACGTTGATTAACAATGCATGTAAACGTCAATATCTAGGCAACTGCCAATTTACAGTATGTTTTAATCTTTGGATATGCCACATTGCTATTTCATTTGGATTATTTGTTGTCAATGAAGCCACACAACCATATAAACGAGGAGGCCCCTAAGACCCGCCGATTTCGACGGGTTTCACCTAGTACAAATAAATAGCCATCCTTAAAACAATTATTCATATTCAGAAATCCAAGGTAAAGAAATTAACTAATGTACGTGAGAATTTTGCACGATTAATAGGCTATTATTTTCTATTTGATATTATCATCACATATTCTAAATCACACACAACTAAATTCACAATTTCTAAATTCTATCGGATACTAGACGGATGATAGTAGCTAATAGATAGATAATAATAACTAGTGGCTTGTAGCATAGATAAAAGGAAAGACATGTCTACTTCTTTTAATCTATGCTTGTAGGGACACAAGTCCCTAAAAAGCTCAATAATATAAAACAAATTATTCTAATATTTAAACAAACTGAGAATTGTATTATCTATGTGTCAAAATAGATATCCCTATACGCCATATCTTTTGTGTAAAAAACAGTTTGTTGTTGTTGTGGTTATTCCACTTTATACAAAATATTGATTAATCACTACAATAAATCTGAAATTTAAAATAAAGAAAGTGTAGACTAAATCTAGAACATAATATGTTTTGAAATAAAAACAAAGCAGAAGTTTTACATTTAATGTTGAATTGTTAATTATTTAGTCAATGCGGTCATCTCATGTTAAACGTTTGAAATACACAAATTTGAAAAGTTTCACAGTAAAATAATTTATTTCTACATTCTATAACGTAACTAAAAATTCTGAATCATCATAGGTAACCTTAACCCAGGGATAGGTTTTATATAGTACATTGCAGAATTGACTGGCAAATACGTAATCCAAATGTTAACATTGTGTACTGGCTTAATGATAAATCACGATCAGCTGTATTGAAGTAAACCAAAATCAACAGTAAATGGCTTCCAATGCTATTTTTTTAATGGAGAACATTTTACGTTATATCTCGTTTTCTGGTATTTTTATGGGAATTCTGCAATTTTTCAAGACCTTTAATTTAAGACCCCTCCCACTTTTCTGCAATTTACCAGACGTCCACAATTTTCAGGTAAAAATTTGGTCTTACAGAATTATATATAAGGATAATTGCCTATTTGATCGTAGAATTCCCAGGTACATTCAACAATTTCCATACCTTAGATTTCTGACTATAAATAATTGTTTTAAGGATGTCTTTATATTTGTAAGCTAAGTACTTGTTATACACTGGCCCATGTTTAATACCTCCAACGCAGCAAACCTGCAGACTAAGCAAATTTCCATCTTTCTGATTATGTTTTAACCCAAATATTTTTTTAAACTTGTTAGATTTATTCTCTATTTAAATAACATTACATGAGTATTTAGGTTTGCTGCTACGGGGAAGGAAAACGTGTTTTTTCTGAAAAATGATAATAGTATATTATGAAATAAATACATTTGCCAAGTTTGATCAAAATATACCCAGCAAATTACAATACAGTAGTTAACTTTTTTCAGTAAGAAAAACATTGGAATTTCAAATGCACAGTTTTTTTTAATATTGTGCGTAACCTTTAATCCTAAAATAAAGCTTTAACATTCAAAATGATTTGTTTTGTTAAGCTCTACACGATGGTTTTAATGAAATTTTAATGAAAACCCAATTTTGAAAAGTTTTGAAACCTCTTAACACCCTGTTCCCATGAACCTGATCTTCCAGCTGGCTCGTGAACTTATTCAAGTGTCACCCCTATAGGTGTATGCCAAATTTAATCAAAATCGCACCAAAGTAACTCGAGTCATCGTGTTCATGGACATGTGTATACATATATATCTTTACCGAGCCAAAGCGGCCTATAACCTGAAACATGATTTAGAAAACGTAACATCTCGTTTTGGTCTTGTAACATTGCCAATAATGTAAGTTAAAATCTGACAAAGAATGAACAATGTGATTTTTATTTTTTTACTTTAGAAGACTAAGCCAACTTTTCGCTGGTTGGATAAAATACTCTTGCTCATGATAAAGGGACTAAAACGAGTATTTTAGACAATAGACGATAAAACAATATTCTGTATAATCATATTCGTTGAGAATAATACAGCGTCATATTTACAGGTGGGTTACAGAAATATTTTCTTATATAGGCTTACAAAATTGTGTTCTATTTCAACTAATGTAGTTCAAAGCTTACATGTTTCGTTGCAATGCAACATCGTCGGAGCTTTTTGTCAAAAACATCAAATAATTTAAACATATAACAAAACGCGGAACACGAAACATTTAAACACGAAATAACACGATAGCGCTATCATGACACGGCGGACACGGCACGGCAGCGGTTGTAGGTAGACTGGCTTCTCTGTTATCAGCTCGGTGGTCAGCTGTTCCAGATAACCATAAG